GCCAGTGTGGTGTAGTGGCTAGAGCCTCCTAAAACCAAATGAGCAAGAAACAGTAAAGACATGTTTTAACAAAATCAATCAATAAATGTGTAGCCAAGATTTGGAAATAAGACTACAGGACTCTGGGTCTGATCCCACACAGTTCATATATTCTTAAATTGTTTTGCCCTATGAATACTCAGGTTGCCTGGATAACTTAATCAGTTTGTTACCTAGTTGCAGGACCAGCCTATGTAGCCTTGGACAAGCTGCACAATTCCAGGGCACATCCAAAAAAAGGGAATGGTGAACCATCTCGGAGTAAACCATCGCCTTCGCGAATATATCTCTGCGTACTCTATACAGTACCTAGAAAACCCTCCAAAACCGACTTGAGAGCAAGCAATTAAATATCCAAATCTGGCAGACAGGATTCAAAATGTGGAAAAACAATTGGTCAAGATAAATAGTATAGTCTCATGTAGCCATCTGCTGCTTGTTCTACAGGATGATAATATAACAAATGACAAAATATAATGACAAAATCTGGTTTGGTGTAAAGTTATACCACGGAAACTGGATCCGTATTGTTAATACTGAATTGGTAATACTGTACTGTAATTCAGTATTGTTAATACTGAATTTGAATTAATTAAAATATGCTCCCTATGCTCCCTAGGCCACCCCTTTGCCCTGGAGAAGTCTCTGGGTGACTTGGGATATGGTGGTGATCTTTAATAATAAAAAATAATAAAAAATAGCTACTTGATCACTGCTGCTGGGATCAGGAGCACCACTGTTGATCTGGTAGTAATTTTTTTGCTTATTAAAGGTTCGCCTCTTCCCATCCCAAGGTTCCCAAAGGCAAAGGACACCTAGGGAGCCTCAGAATTTGATGGGGGGGGGGAATTGAAAACTTTCAATTAGTTTGAATTAAATAATAATGGAATTGGGTATCGCAGCATAGGTTTTTTGCAACAGGAGTTGGCCCAAAGACTCACATTTTGAAACAGTGTCGGTTGTGTGTGATATTAGGACAAATTTAGCTAGTTATTAACCAACACATTGCAAAGAAAGAAAACTCAAATGAAAAACACATTTTACTTCCACTCAAACTGAACATGACACCCCCCTGAGATAGCATTGTAATGAGAATTACAAAATGTAATTTATTCAGAACTGCAGGCATGCAATAAACATTAAATTAATGCATTTAGATACATTTGTAAATTATCTAATATTTATTTAGCTTATCAAGAAAAGCCAAAAGTATTTAGCCTATAACCCAACATTGTAGTGGAATTGGATTTCACAGGAAGCAGTGCAACAATGACTAACGGAATATTGCCTAAATTTAATTGTAGAAGATACTGCAAACAGCAATTTGCTGCTACCTACAGACCAAAATAATTAATGCAGTTTAGACTGGAGAACCAGTTGACATCTTCTACCCATGACACTAACTTGCCTTAGCAGTTACATGAAATACTTTTCCAGAGAACTGATAGTAACTGATAGTGAATTTCGTTGTATGGGTATACTGTGTATATACTTACAA